GAGCAATTTCCCTCACCAACCTCTGAAATGGAAGCTTCCTAATCAACAACTCCGTAGATTTCTGATACTTCCTGATTTCCCTCAAAGCCACAGTCCCTGGACGGAAACGGTGAGGCTTCTTCACTCCTCCAGTTGCCGGAGCTGACTTTCTTGCAGCCTTGGTGCTAGTCCACCTGTGGATTTGCGAGCTGTTTGCTTAGTACAGGCCATTTGAATCTGAATGTATACAGAGAAAAAGTAGAGTTCTGAAATGGTGAATTTGAGAAATGGGTAATGGAGGTATTTATACTGAGAGATAGAGGGCGGGAAGTTTGGAAATTTTGGAAAAGAGTTTGAAATCTTTTTGGCGCCGTTGATTGAGATTTTGGAAAAAGTTCGTTTTTATTACTCTCTTTACTCTTTAATTCTCATAAATTAATTCATATTTTTTAAAGAAGAATCGAAATTACATCTAATATGAGAACGGTATATATATATATATATACTAGTTTCTAGAAACGTGCATTGGACGTTTGCCCCGTATAATTATTATAAAGTATTTTGTATTTTAAGAATTGAGTTATTATATAGGAAATGGTGAAACTAACAATATTAATTTATCAATTATATTTTATTCATTAAATTAAATTTATAACAATGGGATAGAACATTTGCCATCAAGTAAAATTATGTGAAGTTAATTAAGATAACACAGCCTCCAATAATATGAAATATGTCGATACTTATTCAGAATAATCCGATTATCATACACTTTTTCTGTATATCTCATATCAGTAAAAATCACATAAATAATAAGTTGCATTTTATCTTTTCATAATTTAAAATTTTATTCTAAGAAGGAGAGAAATAAAAATGTTTGCTACATAAAGTAGTATTGTTTTTATAATTTATTATTTTTTATAGGGAAAAGGGACAAATATACCCTCGAACTTTCAAAAATGGTATACAAATACCCTTCGTTATACTTTGAGGTTATATATATCCTTACCGTCATATTTTTGGATCATGTATATCCTTACACTAAACGGAGAGACACGTGGCGACATCTTAAAAATTTACCCTATTTTATTTTGTTTTAACTTTCACCTACAAAACTAAAAACCCACTCAACTATCTATTTACCTGACCCGAATTAAAAATCCCCGACCCAATCTAAAACATCTGTGGAGTACATTTCTGAAGCAAATCCCTCAATCCCGTCATCATATCTTCTCCATTCTCAATAATCAAGATCTCATCCATGATGGAAAATTCATTTGCTAGAGAAACCCATTACACTATCTATCAAATTTATTTTTCAAATTTACACTAAATAATCTGAAAATATAAAACCTTTACACATAAACATGTCACAAAAACTCTTTATCAATCAATCACCACATATCAAAATTAAAACCTCAATTCTACAGCACATAAGAAAATTTCAACAAGATTTAGAGCTCAAATCAGATGTCATACTAAGAAACTCATTACACAATTGGAAGAAAAAAAAAAGGAAATGGAGAAATGACCAGAAGCCATCGGAAAGCTCTTTGAAACACTCATCCCCTTTTCCTTTCCTACAAAATTTAACAAACTCTTCCACTTCATCTTACGCATATTATTGCTACTGAACTACAGAAGCCCTAAAAATATGAGGTTTACTAAAATAGAAGTAGAGGTGTACGTCATAGATGTTTTAGATGGGCTTTTCGACTTTGTCGTCCCACTCTCGAATTATTTGTGTGTGCTTACAATGTGTATTTGTAGAAGAAGAGGATGAGTATGTAATGAATTGAATAAGCACTTGAGCAAGCGGATACTGAAGTTGGAAACTAGAAGAAATGATATTTTTTTTGTTTGGAAGAAGAAGAGGAAACTGAAGTTTAGTATTGTTTAGATGATGATGTTCTTCATACTAATTACGTCGCTGTCACTAGCAGCAGAGGCGCCATAGAATTGATCGAGAATTTGAGAGATTTTGATTTGGGTATATTATTAGGATGTTAGTAAGTGGGTGGGTATAGAATATTTGGGCGGGTTTTTCATTAATCCAGGTGGGTTCTTTATTTTTGGGTTAAAATCGGGTAGAGGCATAGGATGACACCACGTGTCCATCTGTTAGTGTGAAGGATATAAGTGCTCCACTTTTCGGACGACAGGGGCTCTAGTGTCTCAATAGTATAACGAAGGGTATTCGTATACCATTTTTGAAAGTTCGGGGGTATATTTGTCTTTTTTCCCTTTTTTATATGATGTAAGACATTGCACCGGTAATACATTAATTAATGACACAATAAACTAATCAGTGTATATACTTATTCAACATATCTTTAGAATATTTCATATTATTTATGTATATACAAATAATTTGCCTATTTTTAATTTTAGTCTTTTGTTACATAAAATATCTAGCCTTTTGTTAGACAAATTTTTATTTTCATTTACATATGACAGATATAATATTGCATGCACCTACAATTATATAAATTCTAAATAAATATAGTTATTAATCTACACAACTTAATCTTCTCTTTATATAAGCAGATGACATATTTAACAAAAAGAAAGGAATAAAAGAAAGACTACATTATAAAAAACATTTAAAAATGAAATTAAAAAGTTACTTACCAGTTACCAAGGATCACGACTATCTACACTTCACATAAAATAATATTGAAAATTCGATCCTTGGAGCATTTCCGAACATCTTCTGAGATGTGTCTCCTTCATTACGTACATCAATTAGAATACAAACTAAAGTATAACAACTATCATTGTGTAAACAAATATAGATGTATCTTTATTTCATTCTAATCTATACCAATTGATAAAAATTAATGAGTTTCCTTCTAAACATTCAATCTCTATCTATCAATATTCTCACATATGATGATGGCTTCAATCCAAATGCAACAATAATGTTATTGCTCCTAATAATTCTAGAAAGATCAATGATATTTCTTTCTTCTGCACCTTGTCGGCCTATAGATATATGATAAAATAGGTTCTTAATCAAAGAGAAATAACGTGTTCAATTAAACAGATCAAATAGGATTTGCACATTCAATTGCTCTTCTATAAGAGACTTTAGGTAACGTAAGATGAAAAGAATCAAATTATTAAAAAAAATTAGCAAAATATAAAAAAGACCCATTAATATCCTATTTAATTGTTATGACCTATCAATTTCCTACAAAACTGCTGCGACCCCTTTGTCTTCATCTATTTCCTCTCAAACAAAAGAGGGATAAATCAGTTTTAACTCTCCAAGAAAAGGAAAACACTATAGGCTTAAATCATAATTATGAGTATTTATACATTTTTGTGCAATATCATTATATCAATGTATAATATATAATTGTTTTTTTATAAAATGGTTAAAATGGTAATTCAACTTCTTACTTTAAAATAATAGAAACAATATTAATAAACATGTAAATAATGACTAATTAAAATTTTAAAAGTTTAGTACAATAATGTGTAGCTATATATAATAATTTGAATTAATTTGACCTTTTTCTTGTGTGATTTTTATGATATATGTTTCTTCATCTTCTGATATTTCAACAACAATCGTTTGAATATGAACATGAGCAACATGATCAGTTATATTTGCAAATGCTTCTAATCTTAAAGTTTGTATCTTGTCTTAAGAAATTGTAGCATTCTCATTTTATAAAGTCTCATACTCTAGTATATTATTGTCAATTTCATGGTTCAACACGTGTAAAAAAAATAAAAATTCTTGTGATAAAGATTTGTAGATTATAAATTATAATAAATGTGAATTTGATAAAATAATTTTAGTAAACCTTTTTAAATATAATCATAATGTATAAAATAAAACAAAATCTATCACCATGTGTAAATATCCTCAAAAAAAGGAAAAATATTCAAAGAACTAACAATCATGTATATATCTAAAGTTTAAATCTTTTATACTTTTCATAAACCTTAATTTTATATTATATTACATTTTTGTAAAATAATAATTGTTAGAAAATGTAATGACCCGTTAGGCCATTTTGAGTACTAGGACTATTTAAGTCATTCTTGTAATTTTTATAGAAAATTTTGAACTATTAGGTAACCACGATTATTTAGTTAACAATTATTTTATTATGTAATAAATGTAGTTGAATAATTAATGGGCCAGACCCATAATCTATGAAATAATTGTACAGAATGGCAAATTTATAATCTAAAATAAATGGAGTAGCTACTGTTTGATTTAATTGCCCCCCGTAGCAAACGTTTGTCAGTCGCCTCTCTCCCTCCAAATTCTTGCTCACCACTCTCCCTTTCTCGCTCGCTCCCTTTGTGCTCGCCTCTTTCGCTTTATACAACGAAATTGTATAAATTGTGTTTCTGTTTGTATAAAGCGAGAGAAAATTGTATATACACATGCAAATACGTACACTTATAATTATACAATAAAAATATTCCCCTGCCCAGTTCTCTTTTGCATTTCTCTCTTTCTCGTTTTATACAAACACAGATTATACAAATATAATGTATAATTTATGTTTGTATAAAGCGAAAGAAAATTGTATATACACATGCAAATACGTACACTTATAATTATACAATAAAAATATTCCCCTGCCCAGTTCTCTTTTGCATTTCTCTCTTTCTCGTTTTATACAAACACATATTATACAA